CTACAGGAATAGCAAAAAAAAAAAGAGATAGTGCCACAAATCCCACAAGGCTGGACCAAGATTTAGGCCCATCTATTTTTATACCTAATAGAGAGCGAGTAATGCACAACTTCAGAAATATGCCTCCTGCTTTTCTCACTGCGAGGTGCAGTCAAGAGGTCAGCCGGCTTGAGGCAACCGCTGGCTTGGGAAAACTCAGCGTATGAAATTTTGGAGCTCTCCAAGCAAAGCCAGCCTGCATGCAGATTATAACTTCAGCGTGGAAATGGCTGTTCAACTACATCTAAGTGTATTGAATCTGCAGGCAAAACAGCATAGATAAATTGCTTAGGAGGCTGGGGTGGGGGCTTGATTCATCGCACTAATTCCCCACTTGTGTGACAATAAATGAGGAACAGGCTTTTCCCAAAAACCTATTAGCCAATGGCAGTTGAAAGTCATTTGCTCTTGCTCTCTCTGGACAGGGATGCATGAAGAGAAGGGGAAGATAACTTTTACTGGGCTTACATGTCTTGTCTTCAGCAGAGCTCCAGGCACTCTACTCGGAGGTGACCTCTGCAAAAAGGCTTCCACACCTAGAATGGGACTTAATCGGCCAACTTTTTTAAATCATTTGGACAGATTTGCAGTGTCAGATTAAAAGCAGAAGGCTAAACCTGTTAGTGCTCCCAACCCCTCTGACAAGTGCTGGCATCTCTCAGGGTGGGGACATGGGTTGGCTGTACTGCTGGGGGTAAAAGCAGCCTCAGCTCTCCCACTACAAGTCTCATGTAGAGCCCTCAGGTGAAAAGCATGGTCTCATAACCCAAGTTTTCACTCTTTAAGTCTTGTATGTTCCTAGAGTTTTACCTCTAGGTGATATGGAGTCTCACGCAGTGCCAGGCAGTCCTTGGAGAAGCATCACTCCCAGTCACAGAAGAACCAGACCCAGCAAGTGCAATGGGAGAACATGTAACCCCAGGCTGCAGTACCCACCCCTGATCCTGCTGAAAGCAGGGGGGTCCTTTCGCTACTGTCCGCTGTTCACACAGTAGCCCAGTGATGACTGCACCCACCCAAAAAATAGATTAGTTTCTCCTCTTCAGGCAGTTTAATCTCTCATCCCCCATTTGCCAAGAGAATGACCCAGGGCCAGGGAGAGGAAGCCTGCTCCTCACCTGAGAGAGCAGGGCAATACCTGGAGGCTCTGCTGAACATCTGTGTAAACATGCAGAGGAGGGAGATGTTGACTTGGATTCCCCTGGTCAAAGACAACATTGAACCTAGGTATGACATTTTACTAAGCAAATGCTTAAGAGACCATCAGGCTATTCCATACTGTGGGAGACAATGTTTCCTCCACTTGTGTTCCCAGAGAGGACTAACTCCAAGACAAAGTCAAAGGCTGGGAATTCAGTTTAACAGACACCCCCAGCATCCCTTAGCATCTCTCACTGGCCCTCATTTTGCCTCTGACCACTACGAATGAGGACCACATCATCCTCCCCACAGGAAACTTAAAGGTCTCGGTTCAAGGTTGTGCATCCCAGTACGGGATCATGGCGATGCTGGCTCTTTATGGCTTTAACCTGAGGAATTCGACTTGCACGCACTAAAAAACCTCCCAGTACTTTTGTAGCAAACAATGTATACACCAGAGAGCCAAAAATTTAGTGCCACTAAATACTTTATCTGATCAGCAGTGAGCTGCACAAATAAAGCATGACATTGCACTGCTCTGAAGCTTCAGATCTTAGCTCGTGACATCATAGCAGCATATCCCAGCTAATAATGGGATACAACGAAGCCTGTCTTAATCATCTGCCCAAAAACAGCTGCTTTGCCAAGATTGTTGGTACTTAAAGGTTGAACACCGCCACCCTGGAAATAGTGTAGTTATTTTAAAGTAGTCACATAAAACCAGCAGCTGCAACTACAGGCGGGGTCTAGCGCAGCTTTTGCAGGATATAAAATTTATACAGATTGCTGTAAAATTAGGCCAGCAACGCAGAGGGGCAAACGAAAACCTTCTGCTCACGGTCTGTCTGCATTGCAGTCCTTTTGCATCTGTTTTCTCCCTGCCTGTCCTTTCCAGAGCTGTCATCCACCTCAGCCCATCATGTAGTGACTTGCCTCCTCTTCTCCTGCCTTTTGCTACTCTTACTGCTGCCATGCACAGCTAGGGCACGGTCACGTCCCAGCTGCAAGGTGGAGAGCTCTGTTATTCTACCACAAACCCAGGAGCTGCAACGCCAGGTTGAAAGTTAGGAGTGCACTGAACTCAAACAGGCAAGCTCTCCAAGAAAAGCTCCATAGCAATTACAAAAATAAGTCAGGCAATATGTTAAAACCACACATGCGCAAGAGAGGAAAAGAGGCAGTTTCTGGAGGAAAATGATCGAGTACTTAAACAATTTCATGGCAAAAGAATCCGTTACCTTTATGCTCCAAAGGAGACTTTATCTTTAAATCAGTCTTTCACTAGCAGGAAAAGGAAATCAAAGTCCAATTCCATCTTCCATTTGACTCCTTTATTTCGTGTGCCTGCTCTGCGAAGCATTACGCTATTGCCGCCCCTTGTCAGCATTCTCGTCTCCAGAGCCTCTCCTGCTTTTCCCATAAACGGCTCCCGCCTTGACACAATCGCAGCCCAAAGGCCGTCCCTGCTAAGCAGCACAACAGTTGTCCCCAGCAGGCAGGACACTGACTTACTACTCTTGAGGCTCTGGCAGAGCCCGAGGAAACAAGCAGTGCTTGGCCTCGGCTGCGTCCACACCGGCAGGGCTGGCTTGTATCTCTGGGAGTCTGAAAAGCGGACTTCTGGAGAAAACAGGGCAGAAACACCAAAATTTCAGCCAAGCTAGTTAGCTTAGTGCCAACGCTTCTGGAAGCAATCACAGAGCTAACCGCAAGCCCAGGGCCAGCCACACTGTGCCACACTCTTCTTACTACAAGATGAGGGGTTGTAGATATTGGGACAAAAAACAGGACTTGAGGAATGAAGCATAGCGCATTGCTGATTTTCTTAAGCAAAGCTGGGTTACAAGAAGGTCGGGACCGAGTGCAGTAAAAGGCAGCAGGCTGACCTGCTGCAGCAGGCGTCGTAGACATGTATGCAAGGAAGCCTCAGATAACTGATGTCAAACAAAGAACAATCACTAGAATGATCACAAGTGTCTCAAAAAGCTCATATATGAAGAGTGGACCAGAGCAATAATTAACTGGGAATGCCATAAAATTATTTCCATTTATAGCACAGACTTTTTTTCTTTTTTAAAGTGAATTAGATAAACACTGAGTGTTAGTATTCAAATCGATACCAGGAATTTACGTTACTTTTAGATCATTAAAACCTGAATATTACGTGCATTGTGCATATATTGCAGTCCTTTGCAGCACAATACAAAATATATTAATAGTTTCCACTCCCTGCGTTATGTCTTCATGCAAAGGGGGAGAACAGAAAAGATGTTTTATTCAAGAAAAAAAAACCCAAACACCGCATGTAAAAGAAAACAGCTTACAAGACACAAATACAAAATATGTAAGAAATCTGAGAATACATTTGCTGTCAAATTCACTTCCAGGCAAAAGATACTAAATTAAACGTTCTGCCAAAATCCTCATGGACTCAAGTAAGTGATGAGGTATATGAAATTTGCTACAAGATAAGCTTCCACGTTGCTATTCTATGCAATCTGAGTGGTACCAAGAATATCAAATCAAGGTACCCGTTTTAAAAACTTCTAAATATGTCTGGCAGCATTGGCTTTCATTATGTTATCATAAACACCGTTACATCTTGCATTTAAAGCAGTCATTTATACGAGACTTTTAAAGTACATTAGTACATTCAATCTTGCTTCGCTAAATTGGTGGAGAGGAAAAGCTGGCAGACAGGATATCACCCAGCTCGGCAAAAGTGCATTTGTTCTCCAATTCTTACAGTAAAGACACTGATCAATCTTTCCCGTACTGAAGTTAATAATGAATACCTTTTTTTTCCAGTTACTGAGTTTCTGGTCACCTTTACTTACTCCACATATATGTTCCCCCCCTTAATTACGCAGGTTTTTATTACCGCCCTAGCCAATTTTACATCATAGAGAACTCATCTGTCATTTGAAACGTAAACTCCCCAAAGCACCAAATAAGAAACCGTGCCCTAAGTCTGCATGGAGCTAACAAATCTGCAAATATTCATTCCTCATACACATACTCACACCCCCACACACTTAGCTTTTGGTCATAGCACACCTCAACTCTGCAAAACTATTTGATATCGATTCTAGTGCAGTTACCTCTCTCCAGCTTCACCCCTGCAGCTTTCATCCAAGCCACTTCCTACGGCCTGGATTTTCTGCTCCCCACCTTGTATTAATTTAAGGCTGAGATCTTACAAGGACAGCCTTGGGGACAGGACTCTGAAACCCAGAGCCAGCTCCACAAAAGTTTCTCTCTCCAGCACCCAGTTCTCTCCCACTGTTTGTCTGCACATCTCTCCCATTCCCTCCCTTCTCACACCATGGGATAGTGGTTATGGGTCCCTTCAGCCTAAATATTCAGAAATTCTTACCCACAAGTTGAATGGCTCCTGTGGCTGCTTCCCCAAGAGCCTCCACAGAAAACTGCAGCAAACCACCCCACCACTGACAAGGGGCAAAGCAAGCCTCACCTCCTCCTGCGTAGAAACATCACCTAGCATCCCTTCCCCATTCCCAGAGACACTACTTGCAAAAAACAGTAGCAAGAGCATGCAGCAAACCACCAGGAAGAGAGTTGTCTCCTTTTCTTCTTCCCATAAAAAACACTGGGAACTACCTCCAGCCATTTCAGCAAACCGTAAAAGCTGCTGGTCTGCTCCAAAGGGCAGCAGATTTCTCCTTCACCTCTTCCAACGTGCCCCCTGCAACTCAGAAATGAGCAAGGTGTCTGTACCCACATGCAGACTCTTCCCCCAGCCTCCTCTCCCCCTTCCCGCAGACAGCTAGTACAATGGGGAAATACTGTAGAGGCAGACAGAATTTGTGCAACACTTTATTACGCTGCTGAAGACTGGGAATCAGTTCTGGCAACAGCCTCTTTTCTGTTACTCAGGCTGAGGAAGTCAGTAGTACAACGTTATTACAAGGTCACCCTCCCACAGAGGGAAGCACACAAACTCTCTCAATACCGTCACTTGCAACTTTGTCCTGTTAAAAGGGCAATTCAAGCTGCAAAGCGTAACGCTGTTACAACCAGGTGCCCTCCAGTTGCTAGCATATTTGCAACTCCTGTTATTTTCCAGTAGCAAAGAGCAGCCTGTAAACTTTTGAGAGAGGTACTGCAGTCAGGCTAAGACGTCAGGTGAAAGGCAGTAGCACAGATACTCACAACAGACAAACATAGCAAAGCATGGATGGCTCTATTTGGCACAAAGCGGAAAGTCAGAGCTTACATTTCAAGAACAGAACATGCTTATGTGATTGTAAAGAAATCAGTACTTGCAGCAAGAGGCAAGACAAGTTACCATAACCTTTTGTGGGAGAGAAAGGGAATCAGTAAAAGCCATGTCTGCAATGGTATCTCTTATATTTCAGTCTTAACAGAAACCAACGTTTTGACTTAAACTCCCTTTTAAAACAAACCTGATGATGTTATACCTTACACAGTGTCGGCTAAGGATCTAACTTTACTACATTGACATACATCATACAGCAGACCCATATCAGTCCTCCTGAATTCCCATGAAAGTGCTTGCACAACTGCATAGCTAACGGTCAGAAGAATCGTGCAATATAAGGCTATAGGTACAGCCAAATTGACCTTTTTATTTTATTTGGAAATACTGATTTCCAAAATAAAGCACTTTCAGGGTAACTAGAAAACATACTTTTTCCAAACCTGGAGCATAGAAGTTAGTGGTGAAAGAGAATTTTAGAATGAGGTAAATGTACTGCATAGGCTAGATATTTAAATCCAAATTCCAAAAGTTATTTGGCTTAATTGTGAAATTATTTAAAACTGAACAGAAAGAAAAAACTATATACTTATAAAAACCTGAAAACAAATCCAGGTTGACCCTAACAGCAAATTAGAAAATAACTCATTTACAACTGGCATTTCCTACCACCGTTTTTTTTTTTTTTTTTTTTTTTTTAAAAGGTAGCCAGACAAAAGCACAATTTGAAAAGACCTTTGCTGCTTTTGCCATGGAGCTGTTCCTTCTAGAATACCTGCTCAACCTCAGCTTGTCTCCAGTTAATCCAAGCCAAGACTGGTACCGGACACACAATGTCACAACACTCCAGTGAATACTGGCCTTCCAGCCCACGCTGCAGCTTTTCTCACCCCAGCCTGTGTTCTGGAGCAATGACAAAGCTTTATGACACAGGGTGTTCAGAATAGAGACTGGTACTTAACAGAGAGTGTCAGAGACCTCAGTTATCATTTTAAACCATTTGAAAACTAAGTTGTAATTAACAATAGTGCCTTTTGTGATTCTTGTGGTTTTTATTTAAAATTTGTTCTTGCAGGTTCACTTTTTTTAATATTCCCTGCTATCAGTGTATAGTTCCCAGAAATAATTCCTGTCAGGCAATGCAGTTTTCTGAAAAGACAGTATCTTCCATCCTCACCACATTTTCAATAAACTCTGTAGAAGTCAGTCAATGATCAGACTAAGATAAAGTGCATATATTCCCTTCTGATACAGACAACAAAGTTGTGGACTAAAAAAATAAATCATACTGAAAACACAAAAAAAGTCGTACTGTGGCCATTGAGCACCCCTCAATTAAGTTGTCCCACTGAGTACTGCCCAAAAATCCTTTTCTTCAGATGTCTGTTAGCTTAAAAAAAAAAAGGAACTTAAAAACATTAAAAATAATGGTTCCTTTTTAATTAGACTCTGAGAATCATGAATTTGTGTAATCCTTGAAAGCTACAGCTCCCCCAAGGCTGGCATACTGCCTTGACAACTTGTAAGTAGTTTGCATTTTACCCTTTGGATCCAGGCTTCAAGCTGGCAAAAGCTTTGGAGTTCTTAAGGGAATGTGAAATTTCATTGAGAAAAGAAATAAAATGATAGTCCCTTTCTGACTTCTTGGACTCAAAAATAACTACAATGGTAAAGTGAGGTTCGGGGCGAGTCAGAAAGTACGTGCTTTGGACTTTGTCATCGTAGAAGTGAACAACCTTCTCCAAACTGTTGAGGTCAGAGGTTCTATCAGTCATAATCATGATTACATTGGGCCAGTGCATAACAGGCCTGTCGCTGGGCAGAGACACCACTGCAGGGTACTGATCCACTCCTTTGGGGGCTTCCCTGTAAGAATGGGGATGATGATAACCATGTCCCTGAAAACTCTCTGATCCACGATTGTCAAAAATTAAGGAAACATTGACAGCATCATACTTCCGGATGAAGCTGGAAATTTTCCCAAAGTAATCAGGATTTGTTTTAGCAGTCAAAGTTTTCATTTCAGATGCTGTTGTTTGTCGACTAAGGGCCTCATGGAAGTAAAAGCTAAACTTGGCAAGGAGAATGTTTTTGAGCTTCATCAGCCAGAGGAAGAGGTGCGGAGGTTGTACAGCCTTCTGAGACTGCCCTCCGAACAGATGCTTCTTGGTCTCTCGCTGTTTCTCAAAAATTTGGCCCCAAGTCTGTAGTTTTGTGTGAGCAGTGTGCAAGTTGACCAGGGATGGAAGGAACTTCCACTCTGAGATCTGAGCCTGAGCCTTTAAGAGATGTGCAAGCACATCTACTTCCAGCTGGAAACTGCTTTCAAGAGGACTGAGGATTGGATGATGAAATCTAGAAAACATAACATTATTCAAAACATGAGAACTGCTGTATACAACAGTGAAATAATCAGATAGTAATTTGTCAATTCACAGACAGAAGACCAAACATCAAAGCAAAGTGTAAACCAAAAAATAACCTTCTTAATTTTTAAAAAAGGTTCTTTTAACATAATTAGGGTATTTTAATGAGCATATAGCACTTGGTATTTGACAAAAAAACACCTGTCAGACATTCCTCTATCAAAGCAAGGGAGTTATATTTGATCAGTTCCACAATAATCACTGTTTATCTTGATCCATGAACTACTATAACAGCATTTCTCTTTAAATTCAGGTGGTTTTGTTCCAATTTAAAATCCCTTCTGGTGGTAAAATATGTCTTGATAGTTCTGGAATAGCAGTAAGACATTTAGTTAAATCAAAGGAATTATGTTATAAATTTGTCGTTTGTATAGAGAAGCTATGAGGAAAACAAGCTGAGGTTTTTTTTTTTTTTAAATTTACACTGAAATTGTGATGGGAATTTAGTCAACAGAACCATGATTAACTGTATTTACGAATGACCCAGGTCTCAAACTTCAAACCTTGGTGTACTAAAAGCAATGAAGGGGAAAAACATTTGGCAGGATTTCATCATGTCACAATGAAGACACTGTAACAACCAGTTTCTCTCTCACTAAAAATTCAGGTCAAGATCAGCTCTCAATTTAACATAAAAAAAAAAAACAAACCACCTCATCTACCAGGTAGAAGCGCCACTGCACATCTTACTCACAAGAGTGATCCTACTACCAGAACAAATCTCGATGAAATGGAATTTTATAGATCCATTCTATAGCCTTCTCTTCTCACTTTATTTTTTCTAAACGTCAGGAAAAAAAAGACAGATGCAGCCTACCTCCCTTCCCTTGATACTCAAATTACTTGTAAATTTATAACATCATCATCGATAAATACATACCTAATTCAAACTGTGCAAAACTGTTCCAGTTACAGAAGCTAATACGTAACTTCAGAAAGAATGAGTCTTCAGCAAAGACAGAAGTGGCCTTTTTAGTAAATGTGTTCCCTAATAGGCATTTAGGACTCTTAAAGAGGTCTCCAACAAAGAACAAACAATAGTTCAAAGACAAGACTTGATGAGGTTCCCAATTAAGTAAAGAAAGATTTATCCCCTCACTTCTGAAAAAATATCCTGGGTCTTGTTATTGCTTTAAAACAAAGAAGTTTATACCGAATCCTTCCAACCTATAACAGCTCATCTTCAGACAAAGTGAAAGTGACTCCACGATTCACCTCAGCTTGCAGGACACAATATATATAATCAATTTTGGAAATGCTTGGTTCAAAACCAAAACACTTAATTTTGTTGTGGACCGGAAGAGAGAATGAGAATTTTAGGCTTTTCATCCCCTCTCCCTTCTCTATTTTTTCTTTGGCTTTCCATCAAGCTCTTGCCAAAACATTAATTCTTAGGCTTGTGAAAATTGTCTAACAATTTTATCACTATTTTTAAGCGTCTCTTTTTTTGACAGCCACAATACATGTCTTGAAAGGATTTGCTATTAAGATGTAAGTCCAAATTTATTTCAGGAAAATGAAATTATGAATATCATAAATCAGTTGATGCACCATGTCCTGCAAACAGGCTAGGTTGGGTGACCAGCCACCTTCTGTACACAGTACATGTCAGCAACCATCATATCTACCTGCTATAGCAGAGATACAGCGATTACTGGCTACTTTGGTGAGCTGAGAAGTCCAGAGTATATTTACATTTCTTTGAACAAACAAGAGTCAATTAAAAATAATATTCTGCTAACAGTCAACATTATATTTCCAATGGGTTTGGTATTCAGCAGAAAAACAGTTTTGTTGCCATGTATTAGAAAGGGGGAAAAAGCATTATGCAACATTATTTATTCCAAATATTCCCATCAAGTGCACACTCAACATTATTATATTTCCAATGGGTTTGGTATTCAGCAGAAAAACAGTTTTGTTGCCATGTATTAGAAAGGGGGAAAAAGCATTATGCAACATTATTTATTCCAAATATTCCCATCAAGTGCACACTTAGCACAGTGTATTCAACACACCTGCAGTCAGACCAAGAAGGTTATTCTTCAACCTTAAAAGCAATTAAAAAATTCCTACTAATGCAGCACTTCCAAGTCTCCTGGATTAACATTATGATGTACGGCTTCCCACTTCTACTTTGCTTCATGGCTCATAGCTATTTTCATGTTTCACTGCACAGCAGAATTTGCGAAACTGTTTTAATCCAAAAATACACACCTCAGCCACAGCTGAGAAGCGTAATGTAGTTGCAGAGTAAACTAACAGAGTAAACTAACTATGCACTGAGTATATCTGCTGCAATTAACTTTCAGAACACAGAAGCATCTGACTGAGCTCAGTATCGCATAATACAGACAGGTTTTTACGATATTTCAATAAGCCAGAATGTTAAGAACTTAAAAACACATTGGAAAATTGATTTTTTTTTCCCCTAATCATTCTCAAAAGCAGAGGGATGCTAGAGTTTTGTTTTGCAGACTATGAAGAAGCCTCATTTTTCTACAACTTTATTTCCTTCCATAGATCACACATGCACGCATTTACAAAATGCTACTAGATGAAAAACATTTAACACTTAAAAATAATTACATCAAAATAGGTTTACTAGTTACTTATTCATTTTATAATAAGCTTTTAAAGGATCCTGCTTCTGATGCTGTTTTAATTATTTCAGTTAAGATCCCACCCAAACAAACAGTTAAAAGATTCAGGAAAAGTTACTTCTCCAGCTGTATTCTATAGAAAAACAGAGAGGAAAATGTCTAGTGTTGGCTGTGTACAAGTCAGCAATAAGTACTAAAAAAATAGCTTTAAACTGTTCAAGAGTTAATGCTTTTTCAGATACAGACAATATGACTTGATTGTTGACAGTCAACTAATTCTGTCATTCCTTTACCAGCAAGCAGTTATTTAGTCTACATTATCTGAACAGCTATTTTTAGATGTAAAGAAAAGAAATGAAGGCCAGAACCTACCTACAGAACAGATGCCCTGTCTGGCCTTAGCACAGTTGGCTGAAATAATGGCACACATCCTCAGCTACAAGTGAGGAATATATTGACAGAGGGAAGAGACTGAGTAAGGATGAGTTTATTTGACCTTTCACCTGAGAGGGTCAACAGACTGTGAAACAGAAATGCCTTCTGGCCAGCACACATCAATGTAACAGCCCCCAGAAACTGACCTGAGATACAAAGAAATGAAAGGAAGGACTAAAGGAAGATATCATTATCCCCACTTTTTTCAGAAATATTCTGTACATGACTGGGGAGGACCACACAGCAGCTACTGAATTAGCTCTGACAGCATCTTAGAATGTCTCCATCTTAGAGACTGCTCATTGACCCAAAGCAAGATTATCAGTATTTTTCCCAGGGAGACACTGTTTATTTTCTTAAAGAGGTTATAATAATGCCTTGAAAGTGCAGACATGTCACTGAAATTTATTTAAATAGTGTAGTAAAACATTTCATATATAACAGTCTCCAGTCACTTCATCAAAGTATCAGTTTTGGTTTTCAGATTTTTAACAGTGCTGTTGACTCAGCACATGCTCAGAACAGATGGCAATGGTTAGTGTACAACATAAATCAACTTTAAAAAAACAAAACAAAAAAACCCCCAAAAACAACTTACCTCGCTTTACTCTTTAATGTTTATCGCACCAAGGAAAAAATATGTAAGTTTCATTTTTCATTGGACTAACAACCCTGGTACTGTAAGGGTTCACAAACCAAGAATTGCAAAACAATCACTAGCAAGATCATATAGACTAGTTTTGATTTTCAAATAGCAAAATTATGTAACAATTTGCCTAAGTTATTCCTAAAAAAGTAAGGGAGTCAACTGCAGTGCTCAGATTTGAAATATCAGAAAGCAGCACTGAAGTATTCCAATTTTTCCTAGGTGTAC